GATTTTGCAGATAAATGCAGAATAACAACATATTATATTGTTATTATTATTTGAGGACCAAAGTTGATTCTCTACCTTGGATATGGAATTTCAAATGTGATATTTGTTTATATTTCTTCTTCTTTTTTTTTTACCACAACTGGAAATCTACATTTCCGTTAGAGCTGGATAACTTTATACGGCCACATTTAACATGCAAGAATAAATTGCACCAAATCAGATATTAATCATTGTGTTCTCGTGCATGTGTAGCTGGGATCAGTTCTCTTCATTACGGTGTGACAGCCGTGATCACATGTCAATGTCAATTCTATATATACTATATAGTATATATTCTATATATACTATATAGTATGTGCTCCTTAGTCGATACATGTCTGAATAATATGTATGATTTGTTTGTGATTGTTGGAGTTCATGACACTTTTAAATCTTCACGTCTCCATTCCTCATCCACACACACACCTCCGTACAGAAGCCAGGCTCCAACGCCATCATTTAAAATGTGTCTCTCTCCCCGTCCTCGTCCTCCTCTGCTCACAATGCTCTGGTTTCTGCTGCAGATCAAATTATAAATGACACCCTGACTCCAATTAGTCTTTTCAGCACCAAAACCTCTCCCGGCACAAACGACGATTACATTTGATCCATATATAATTGGTTAGCTGCTGCTGTTGTTGTTTTAAGGATTACAATAAGGGAACAATAAGGGTACTGCTTCCTCCATGAGCCCACTCTCCGATAAGGGGTGGCGATGGGTGGGTGGATGGGTGGATGGGTGGATGGGTGGATGGATTTTAGTGGCCTAAAAATAAACAAATAAGAGAAACAGATTTTGAAAGCTGACCTCCACAAATGGTCTGAATGGAACCACAGTCAGTGCACCGCTGACTGAGCCCAGGTGTGTGGACAGAACCACTTCTGATGACAGAGCGCTGTCTGTCCGATAAACAGCCTGAGCACATCCTGTAAATCTGTGTGTGTCAGACTGGCATGGCTTTACTGGATCAGTCTGCCCCCCCCCAGCTTTCATCTCCTCCCGCCCACTGCTGCTATTCCTAGCTGTGAGGTGACAGGAGGCTGGGGGGAGGGGCTGCACACTGACGGCTCTGTCTCAGGGTAACCAGACTGAGGAGCTGTTATCTCTCAGGAGCATGCACCCCCCCGGAGCATGCACCCCCCCTGTATCTCTAATGATGCACAGGCTGCCTCACAGACAGGCTTTTTATTTGTATTTTTTTTTATTTATTTTTTTGGTGGTCACAGTTGTGTCTGGGAGCCAAACCCTGTAATCCTCAAGAGACGCTGATCATGTAGCTCAATCTCCACCCGACCACTGTGACAAACGCACAGTCATCCAGAGGTTTAACAAAGTCATGAGTCACTCCCAGGGGTTAACGACATGTGTGCTCAAATCCAGTCCACTGCACCATTAGGGCCAAATGGATAGAAATGTTTTGATTAGTACTGCCATCATGATTATTTATTTTGTTCTTTTTATCAGTGTAAGTGACAGAATATTATGACACTTTTAAATATACACAGCGGGGGGTTTCACGTCAAAACTAATTTGGGCATTTAGCCCTGATGCTTTGATTTAAAACATTTTTACATTCACAGTTAAATCTGAGAACTAATTTCAATAGCAATCATGGATACTAAATATGAATAGATTCTGGTAATAAAATAGTCAAGTATGTGACTTGTGAAAATATTTCCTTAGTAAGGCACAGGGGTTAGTTACTGTAGTAGTTCTAGCAGAATGTCCACATTTTGACTTTTTTATATATAATTTCTATATTTTATTTATCTTTAAAGGTGGGGTAGGTAAGTTTGAGAAACCGGCTCGAGATCGCTAGAATTTGAAAATACACAGCCGGAAAAAATCTCCCACTTCCTTACAGAGCCCCTCCTCCAACACACACGAACGCGCACATGACCAATGAGGGCACGAGATAAGTTTGTGCACAGATGGAAGGCTGACAGGCAGGTAGGCCATCCAGTTATTTTAGCCGGGCCGGCTCAGATGATTGGTTGTGCTTTTTACAGAACTACGGCTTCCACAGATGACATTTTTTTATGGATTTTTTGTCAAAGCACTTCAGATATTCATTGCTATCGGGATGTTAAGAGCATTCCATGGAATATAACAAAAAGTGTATCTCCAGCCGGTTTCTCAAACTTACCTACCCCACCTTTAACTTATTTTTATACATATTTATTTCATTCTAAAATGGGGCAACTATCACAAAACCCGATATATTAAGTATCCTGATTGGAAAACCACTGACTGAGACTGTCCCCCCCCCCCCCCCCCTCTGTCCCTGTCCCTGCAGGAGCGTCTGACAGTGGACGCCCCGAAGAGACACAAGGTCTCTGTGCACGTCCTCTCCAGAGAGATGGACTCCTGTGAGTACTGCTGCTGTCCCTTCATTCAGACCCTCTGTGTGTTCCTCCAGTGTGGCTCTGACCCGTCTCTGTGTGTTCTCAGGTCCCATCGTGGGGGAGTTCCCGGCTCAGAACGATGTCAACCTGGCCCCCGCCCCCTCCCTGCCTCAGGTAACCTCATGTTTAACCACGCTTCTACCTTTAACCTGAAAACTACTGAAACATATTCAAGCTGATCAAAGCTGCATTCACATGATCCAGGATTTGCTCACTGCGAGATTGGCCGCACAGCTAGCTACATTTTGTTACTATGGTTACCTTGCCTGTTAGCTTACGGCACCTCGTACAGCTGTCATCTGATTGGTTATGCGGTCAGCAGCAATCGAGGTCAAAGTGTAAATAATTTTACCTTTGAGCGCCGCGCTCGGTAACAGAGCTGTCCACAACGACAGCGGCTCTGCTATCTCCATAGCAACACCACAGCAACGCCAGCAGAGCAGCTGTACCACAGATCATATATATATATATATATATATCACATATTTACTTACTTTTATCAACTACTGATACATTGTTTCTTTTCCTCAACTACCAAGAAATTCAATTAATTTGTTTAAACTACAAACACACTTTTTTGGAATTACTCAGGTATATTTGACCTGTCACTGCGAGGGTCTCAGGAAAGAGAGGGGGCTGTGCACTATAAAGCCTCGTGAGACACATGTTTAGAAAAACAAAGTGGATATCATCAACATCACACAACTGAAACATATTATTCTATTTTCTCAACTACTGACACATATTCACATGTTTCACCTCCACTCTACCACCCCCCCCTGCAGCCCACCGTTGTGCAGGACATGACAGAGTTCAAGAGGAGCCTCCCCCTCTTCCCGCTGGTCAAACCTCACATCAACTTCATGGCTGCCAAACTGTGAGGGGGGGGGGGGGCAGCTCCACACGCAGGAAGACCAGCATCTCACCGAGCCTGCGTGCGTGTTTGCGTGGGTGCATGTAAATCTGTGTGTGCACACGTGTGTGTGTGCACGGGTGTCCGGCTGCAGCCTAGAGGAGACGATCGGAAACAAACGTGTTTAATTTGAATCACCATGTTAGCGACGTAGCTCAGATAGAGGTCACACACTCTCACACACACACACACACACACACACACACACACACACACACACACACACACACACACACACACCACTGTGTAGAGGAAATAGTAACAACCAATGAAAAAAGGCCACACCCCTTTTGAATGAAGAACATGGAGGCGTTTAATTAGAATTCTCTTTTCAGACATGCTGCTCTGAGGAGTGATGTTTGGGGTTGTTGAAGTTTAACAGTAGCACCACGTCTTTTATCTTTTGGACTCGTATGTTTCCATGTAACTAGGAAAAGGACTGTCAAAGACATGATTTCACTCAAATCAATGCTTTTCCTGAAGAATATGTTTATGCTTTTTGATTATTTTTAATCCTGGCAGGTTTTGAAATGCTTGTAAAATGTTGGGACCCTTTGAGGAGCTGTCAGCTGGTCACATTGATGTTATTGCATTTTACAGTAGGATGTCATTCAGAAACCTCAGGAGAACCTCTATGCTGTTTTCTTTTTTTAACATTCAGTTTTAATAGTGATTGATTACAAATAAAAACACTTTTATCCTTCAAATGTCTTTCAAGTCCTTATCCGTCTTTAAGTTATGTTTGTAAAACTTGAATTTATTTTGAGATCCAGGGAAATGATGACTCTTACACTCGCTGCATGTGTGACAGCTTGTGCCTTTCGGGGGGGGGGGGGGGGCTTCAGTTATTATGCATCTGGCTGGTGGTCCGACCTGGGGCACAACCCTGGAGGATCGACCCCCCCCCATAGAGAGCTCAGGCTCTTACAGCAGAGATGTCAAAAAGCAGCTTCTAAAGCAAGGCTCCGGTCAGGATTTATTTCTGGATCTATGCACTTCTCTCACTGAGCAATAAACGCTACAGGGAACAGGGAGGCTAACCTGTTGGAACAGCCAATGATCATCAGGCTTATCGTTTTCACTTGAATCCAACCGGCTCTCAGCCTCCGTTCATGGACACTTATACCTGTTGTTCCAAAAGCTTTTTCAATGTTGTCCATCATTTTGCTACTTCTCAACCTGATCAATAACAACTATTATCACCGTTTGCATTTTTGATTAGTCAAAAAATAATAATACGGAAGAGCTGTAGGGCCACATAGGAATGCATTTTTTGAGTTCAGAGAAAATAGTCCGAATTCCTATTTGAATCTCGGAACAAAAAAAAGTTTGGGGCAGATCTAAAAAATCAAATGTCCGATGTGGCCCAATCATCCTCCGTCAAGTCAGAACATCGACAATAAAATTGACATTTCTGTGTAAGTTTCAGATGTTTTGCATTAGGAGACACATAAAGATGTCTCATCTTAAATGCAAACATTTTGATATCCACCTGTCTCTAATGGTCTTCCGTACAGGAGTCAGGACACGTATTGGCTGGTTAGGACATTTTGAGTTAATGTATTGTCTCCTGTGTTTCTAATGAATAAACTACTGAATGGAACGGTGTGTATTTTAATGCAACACAAGCTCAACTCATGCACTTGGAAAAAGACGTTTATTCACAGATAAAACGATACCATAGACAGGAAGTCTCTTTTGGCAGAGTGGAGAACTGATGGTGGAACCACTGGAGGCGTGTGTGCGCCCATCACACACTGATGTTTCCAGCTCCTCTGAGGCAGGAAACAGCAGCTGGTCAGATTGTGCACAAACTACCACATAAAGTGAAATAGTTAATCACATGATTTAAACCACTTACTGTTGTGCTATGTTCATTTCATAAGACACATTTTCACACTATTTGTCCAGGTTTTAATATTTTCAATGCAACCTCAAATTTTGTAGGAGCATTCAAACGAAAGCACTGACCAATCAGAACTGATATTCCCCTATGAGTGTAGACGTCCTTTAAAAGCTTTTATTTTTTTTACTGAATACATTCCTAAAATCTTTTTACCCAATAACAAAAGTTACTCTTTATATTATCTTGGCAAATATTTGTTCACCACCCATTTTAAAGATTTTTAATATATTTCCTGAAATACAGCTTTTATTTCCTAAGTCATAAGCACAGGAGAGAAGTATTCATATCACTTCTCTTGAGCCTCAAGGCTTCCATAGAAACTTTGAAAAGGCATTGAGGCATGAAGATACATCTGTAGAGGGAGAAAATGTGACTTGTTATTTGGTTGCACCAACGCTTTAATTTCCTGTAGGTGTCCTGACATCAGCCGTTCTCAATGAATAGTGTCCGATTCCATTTCTTCATAGTAATTTCCTGAGAGCCTCAGTCTGACCTGGGATCAGTTCAGACTGAATAGTTCAGCAACATCTCAGTAAATGAATGTAGCTCATGTAGCTTCAGAGATGCTTTCATTCCAACATCCGGTCGTTGTAAAAATCTCTGAAAAGACAAGCGTCCATAATATCCACCCATCTGTTAGAGACGGCGTCATGGCAACGGGCTCCACGGAAACACGGGCAGTGCTGTGAAGCTTTAGAAAGAACATTGAGTGTTTGTGAAGCTGCAGACGATGAACACTGAAGGCATGAGAGGAGATCAAACAGTCCTCACATAAAGCAGGGGCTCATCATCAGGACTCGTCTCCTGCAGAATGATTCACGTCTCATTGGTCCATACATTCTATACATTCTATACCCCTCTGACTTTATTCCTCCACAATTGCGAAGGGATCTCTTCAAAATAATCATAAAACAATCATTTATTATAATTATAAAAGTCTTTAATTACACATGCCCCGCATTTCTTTATCTTTAAAATACAGTTATGTTACAATAAGTATTAGTTATTGGCAGTCACGCCGACTGCTAACATGCTCCTCTGTCTCCTCGTCTTCCTCTCTTCCTCTCCCTCTCTTCCTCTCTTCCTCTCTTCCTCTCTTCCTCTCTTCCTCTCTTCCTCTCTTCCTCTCTTCCTCTCTTCCTCTCTTCCTCTCTTCCTCCACCGCAGCGTCAACAGTTTGAATTCATGAAGCGGAGGGTGGGGGGGCCTCGCACTGAGCGTCACTCCAGGAGGGGTGAGGATAAGGGAGGAGTGGGAGGAGTGGGAGGTGAAGGGTGACACTGATCCCGAGTCTGTTTTGTCCGACTGCCTCAGGCCTCCTCCGACTCGGGGAAGTCGAGGATCTTGCGGTGGGCTTGTCTCTGGTACTGCTGCTGCTTGAAGTAGACCTTGAACGCCCCCTTGATGGCCACGAAGGCGATTCCTCCCTGTGGGGGGACAGAGGCAGAGTCAGTGTGAATGTGGAGATTCTCCACCCTGCTTCCTGTGGGGGGGGGCAGCCTCTCTGAATAAAGACGAGTGATGCCTCACTTAGGGTATTTTCTGATTTACCAATCACACCTTTTTACATTTTACAACCAAACATGTATCTGTGATGTTCCATAGAGCTGTCATGGTGCGTTCACAGCACACACCAGGCACGGGACGAAAACATCACGATGCAAAGACGCAGATAGACACATCCTTTGATTGAGTTCAGAGTTTCCTATTACCTGATTAAGATCAAGATGACTTTATTAATCCCAGGGGGGATTCAGGTCTTCACTGTGGTGATACAGTTACACTATAGGCCAGAAGTTCCCACGTGCACAAGCAGGACCTACAGACATGCACTAATGGAGAGGTGTCAGGGCCAATGAGCAGTTGGGAGTTTGGTGCCTTGCTCAAGGACAACTTCTGCAAAGCCCAGGATGGACTGGCACCTCTCCAGCTACACTATGGATTTTGGTCCGATTGGGACTTGAACCGTCAACCCTTCGGTTCCCAAGTCCTTATTGAGTGAGCTACTGACACGTTTGACAAAACATTCATTCAGGTTTTGACTAATTGGAATCATTATGTGGATATTTCAGCTTCCTTCTGATACGCTCATAAGGTTCCTGAGATCTGGAGCGCTGCACGGTGTTCATGTCAGCGATGTCAGGAGTGGTTTGATATCCTTTTTTTACTATACAAATACTGCTATACTACTTGCATGTCATTTTAAAGATGCAATGGTTGAATGGATTACAGTTTTTATGTAAATGTACTTCACCTGCGTTTTTTACTTTTATCTGTGAGCTTTTAGTCACTTTACATTATGATCCCCTTCTCTTCTCTCTCTTATTAATAATAAATAAATCTAATGTTCAGTCTCTACACACCGGAGGCTCTCTGAGGCCTGTACAGTAAGCAAATCATTCAATACTGTCAATGCAATATAAAGGCTCACACTTCAATAAATGCATACGGGTTCATGGTTGCTGTCGTCAGGTCAAAACAAAGCAGCATCATTTGAAATGCTTCTTATGTTTTCCTTCTGACCACATTCATACATGTTGTCAATTGATAGGAGAAGCATCTTGCCTTCAGTCTGTCCCTCAGTGAAGGAGGACAGATTGTTGGGTAGTATCCCATGAGCCTCTCTGGTTACCTGTCTGTCTGCACCACCAGGTAATGAGGAGAGATAACGGCTCAACTGGGATCATTTATTAATGATCATTGTTACCAATTTACCCCCCCTCCACCACTGAAGGTCTGTTCTGTAACTGTCAGTGTCCCCCCCCCCCCCCTCCTGGAGGTGTGTGTCTGCAGGAACCCACCAGGATGGTCCTCTGCAGGTTGGAGTTGACGCTGCTGAACATCAGCTTCCCCACGATGGTGGCGATGGTGGGGAAGACCAGCGCACCACACAGGATGCGGGTGGCAGAGACGTGGTCCGCCAGGGGGCTGGCCTCCGCCGGGATACGGGGGACAGGGCAGCCAATCCCTGCAGAGACACAGAGAGCAACTTATATTATTAACCAATCAACAATGTACTTAAACAGTGTTCAGGCAGACCCTCACATCCATCAGTGAATTTACAGTCCTCTGTGAAGAGGCGGTGCTACAGTGAGTTTACAGTCCTCTGTGAAGGGGCGGGGCTACAGTGTGTTTACAGTCCTCTGTGAAGGGGCGGTGCTACAGGGGCGGTACTACAGTGTGTTTACAGTCCTCTGTGAAGGGGCGGTGCTACAGTGTGTTTACAGTCCTGTGAAGGGGCGGTGCTACAGTGAGTTTACAGTCCTCTGTGAAGGGGCGGTGCTACAGGGGCGGTGCTACAGTGAGTTTACAGTCCTCTGTGAAGGGGCGGTGCTACAGTGAGTTTACAGTCCTCTGTGAAGGGGCGGTGCTACAGTGTGTTTACAGTCCTCTGTGAAGGGGCGGGGCTACAGTGAGTTTACAGTCCTCTGTGAAGGGGCGGGGCTACAGTGAGTTTACAGTCCTCTGTGAAGGGGCGGGGCTACAGTTAGTTTACAGTCCTCTGTGAAGGGGCGGGGCTACAGTGAGTTTACAGTCCTCTGTGAAGGGGCGGGGCTACAGTGTGTTTACAGTCCTCTGTGAAGGGGCGGTGCTACAGGGGCGGTGCTACAGTGTGTTTACAGTCCTCTGTGAAGGGGCGGTGCTACAGTGTGTTTACAGTCCTCTGTGAAGGGGCGGTGCTACAGGGGCGGTGCTACAGTGAGTTTACAGTCCTCTGTGAAGGGGCGGTGCTACAGTGAGTTTACAGTCCTCTGTGAAGGGGCGGTGCTACAGTGTGTTTACAGTCCTCTGTGAAGGGGCGGTGCTACAGTGAGTTTACAGTCCTCTGTGAAGGGGCGGTGCTACAGTGTGTTTACAGTCCTCTGTGAAGGGGCGGGGCTACAGTGTGTTTACAGTCCTCTGTGAAGGGGCGGTGCTACAGTGTGTTTACAGTCCTCTGTGAAGGGGCGGTGCTACAGTGAGTTTACAGTCCTCTGTGAAGGGGCGGGGGCTACAGTGTGTTTACAGTCCTCTGTGAAGGGGCGGTGCTACAGTGTGTTTACAGTCCTCTGTGAAGGGGCGGTGCTACAGTGAGTTTACAGTCCTCTGTGAAGGGGCGGTGCTACAGTGTGTTTACAGTCCTCTGTGAAGGGGCGGTGCTACAGTGAGTTTACAGTCCTCTGTGAAGGGGCGGGGCTACAGTGTGTTTACAGTCCTCTGTGAAGGGGCGGTGCTACAGTGTGTTTACAGTCCTCTGTGAAGGGGCGGTGCTACAGTGAGTTTACAGTCCTCTGTGAAGGGGCGGGGCTACAGTGAGTTTACAGTCCTCTGTGAAGGGGCGGGGCTACAGTGAGTTTACAGTCCTCTGTGAAGGGGCGGGGCTACAGTGAGTTTACAGTCCTCTGTGAAGGGGCGGTGCTACAGTGTGTTTACAGTCCTCTGTGAAGGGGCGGGGCTACAGTTAGTTTACAGTCCTCTGTGAAGGGGCGGGGCTACAGTGAGTTTACAGTCCTCTGTGAAGGGGCGGGGCTACAGTGAGTTTACAGTCCTCTGTGAAGGGGCGGGGCTACAGTGAGTTTACAGTCCTCTGTGAAGGGGCGGTGCTACAGTGAGTTTACAGTCCTCTGTGAAGGGGCGGTGCTACAGGGAACGGACCTGGGAAGATGCTGTTGAGGATCTGCAGCTTGTTGCAGTACTTCCTCCACAGGCGCAGCACGTAGTCCTCCCAGCGGATCATCTTGCCGAGGATCAGCATGACGGGGATGGTGGGCAGGCCGATGAGCAGGAACAGGGGGTCCGCCCGCTCCATGACGTCCAGACCCTCCTTATGGCCCACCACCTGGGGGGCAGAGGGGGGAATCACAATTCAAAACTTAACTTAAAATAAAAAAAAGGAGACAGTGGGACTCGAGCAGTACTCTACGTCACCACATGCATATTATTTGGGTTTATAAAGCAGCTCAGTTGAAAACCCGATTCTGATTAAGTGTGCTGCTCTTTTTCGATAGCAGACTATTGCTAAGAACTCTCTGAATGAAGGACTATGTGCAGTCTATCAATCTGCAGAATAAGTCTGTCATTTTACACCATGAAACACTTTTTGAATATTCATTTTTATATTTGTGGAGAGCACAACACTTTGGAGTCATGATGGCTGAACTGTCCCCAGTGAAGAAAAGAAAAAGAGCGCAAGAGGAGGAAAGAGGTTAAAATACAGAGCGCTGGACGTCAGAGAAATCAGCAGACAGGAAGTAAACACTAACAGGAAGAGCAGAAGAAGACAGACAGGAAGTAAACACTAACGGGAACAGCAGAAGAAGACAGACGGGGGCCGTTTCTCAATGTCGAGTATACCTGCTGCAGAGCCACTATTTCAAGTATACTACGTCATCGAGTGGCGCCGAATGCTGGGCATTTAACATGCATTTAAACAGTCCTTCGGCGCCACTCGATGACGTAGTATACTTGAAATAGTGGCTCTGCAGCAGGTTTACTCGACATTGAGAAAGGACCAGGAAGTAAACACTAACGGGAACAGCAGAAGAAGATAGAGAGGAAGTAAACAGTAACAGGAACACAGTATGGGCTCTGGAAGTGGCTGAGCATCACCACCGCTAAGCTAAAGGCGGCTAATGTTCAGAGTGATGATGTTGAGTTGTCTCATTTAGTCACTTGTTAGCAACTGTCGTTTTTATGACACACAGAAATTCTGACCAAAACACCACCAGTTAAACTTCTAACTAATTTCTGTGTTTTAGGACTCATTTCTGCACCACTCAATGATCCCTCACTTCAAATGGATAATGTGAATGTGAAATGCATGCATGACTTGCAAAACTGCTTTCCAGTCATTTATTATTTAATGTGCCCGCTGAATGTCTCACCTGCATGACGGTGACGGCTCCGTACGTGACGGCGGTCCAGTAGATGGAGCCCACCATGATGCCTGCAGCAGCGAAGGGGCCCGCCTTAGAGATGAGCCGGTCGGCCAGGTCCAGCACGTAGACCACGGGACCTGGGGGGGGGGGGGGGGGGACAGAGTGAGGACCACTCCTACACAGACAGCTCTTATTTTATATATTTAAAAAGTTCTTATTTTTTCTTCAATTCTGAATTGTGTTATTCAGAAAAAATGTATTTATAATACAACACTGTATATATTGTAATATATACATTGTACTACATCTAATGTAGTACAATGTGCACATTTATAGTATAACTTCTAATGTTGATATCATTTTTCATATATTTTAATTTCTCTTTTTACAGTACCTATTTATATATCTTCATTTGATTTTTTGTATCACTAGGTCAAAACTTTATGCAACTAAAAGCTCTTTTGTATGAAATGCGAAATATAATGACACAAACTGATGGGCTTTTTTAATTAACTTTTTTTAATGTAATCCCAGTGAATTAGTGAAGAGCGATTTACGTAAATCCGCGCATGAACATCCTGTCACTGGCAAAGAGTCAAACACATTTGGGTCACAGAGGGTTAGATAGAGTGTGTGAGTGTACAGCAGGGGTCATGAGACTCCTGCAGGTCATACAGACACTGCGACCAGAAAAATAATCCAACATAAATACAGCCATTCGACTGCTCGAAGAGGAACCAGATGAAGTTTGATCTACTGTGAAAGATAAGCAGGTCAAATTACACCAGTTTCATTTACAATAAAAAAACAAAAAACAAACAAGGAAGCTCTCACTAAATCATCGTCATGACGTCAGGCAGTCTTCAAGTCAAAATGACAACAATGCAGTCATGTGATATTTAAAGAGATCAGGTGCACCTTGCTCTGCAGGATTAATGACAGAGAGGGAGGAGCCTCTCAGACAGGATCCACCTTGATTAATAATAACTGACTCAGTGGGGAAGGAGTTAAGGTAATAATACCAAACTGTACAAATACTCAGTTACAAGCAAGAGTAATGCATTGAAAGTAGGGATGCTCCGATCGATCTGCCGATACTCACTCTCTGCCGATCGATCGGTGCTCTCTAAAAATGCCAATCGCAAGGGTCGATCGCATGACGTAAAATACATGACACTTTTCTCTGTGCGCGGCAAAACAAGCTCGCCAAAATGGCTTCACCGGTCTGGCAGTATTTTAAGGTGTCCGAAAAAGACAGTAAAATAGCGGTATGCAACGTGTGTGAAGCAGAAATCCTGCAGCTCCACCCGCTGTGACGGACCGGTGAGCGGAGCAGAACACGCACTAAGAGTTAGACCTAACACACTTAGCTATTTTATCTACCTCTGGAACAAGCTAAACTAGTTATACATATATTTATTCTTCACTGTCGGGTCACTCATTACTGGATCAGTGAGATGCATGAGATACTGACAGGCTGTCAGGAGAGGAAAAGAGAGCGCTTCCGCTCATTTCTCCCGTGTTATTATCCAAAGTTAATGTAAACTTGAATAATGTACATCATTTGAATGTAATAATTATGTTGGTTGTCGTTTGTGGGAGCGCCAGTGAATGAGCCCCATTAACACCTAAGCCCCATAGACCCCGCCTTGATTAGCAAACTGAGATTCCACAGATTCCAGAAATATCAGTATCATCACTGAGCGATCAGAACTTGCGACATGGCAAGCAAACAGACATCACACGACGTAGCTTTAGGTAGCAAAAAATGGAGATATGCTCACCTTTAGCTGTTATTCTGATCAAAAATTGTGTTCAATGGCATTAAAACGATAAAAACGCGGCTGAAGGTTAATCCATAGGTTAATCCAATGTGTCTGTCACTTTGAAAAAATTACTGATAATCCATAGTTATCCAGAGTTTTCATATTAGCTGCTAATGATAGCTACTAGAGCAGGGGGGGGGCGCTTTACTGGCATTGATCCGGACAAGTGACCTTGTATAAAATTCACAAGTGGACCTTTAATAAAAAAGTTTGAGTACCCCTGTACCAGAGTGTATGACAGCTTCCTGTTTTGGGTATTCTGGCTACGCGTCACTCTCACTCCTTATTTGGTAACATGTGTGTGTATGTGGAACTTCCCCTCGATTCTATTGGCTCTAACGGTTAAAAAGAGATGTCAATCATCAAAATCGACCAAGGGGGGCCAGAGATAGGTCAAATCCACCCAAATGACCCCAGAAGTGGTTTTCTTTTGCTAAATCTCTCTAAAAAGGTCAAATTACCCTTGTTTTGCATCAATCTTGATACAGGGTACTTATGTTATAGTTTGGATTCCTAAAGCTTTTAGTCTACTATCCCATCATTCAAGGGTGGCTTTCACTATAAGTAATGTTTTTGTTTTGTTTTATAATTTACATTTTTTTACTATGTTCAATCTGAATTTACTTTAAAATAAAAAAAATCTCATATTGATTCTGACTCTTCTACATCCAACTCACAGGTTTATCATTGCTTCGAGAAAAAAGATTATTAATTTACCCCTTTTAGAAGTGAAGTTATAGTCATTTGTTCTGGGAATGTCATTTTCGAGCCTGAGACCTGAAAAACAGGCTCAGGGCACATCACTTTAAATGGAAGATCCCCATAGGCCCCGCCCACTCGATCGGTATCGGCCGATACTGATTCCGGCGATCGGCCCCAAAATTGGCGATCGGAGCATCCCTAATTGAAAGTATAATCAGCAAAATTCAATGCAGAGAGATCTTGAATAAAGATTAAACTATTGTGCTTTTTTAGGCACAAAATACAAATATGAACATAAAAATGAGCAGAATACTCAAGTACATGTACCCCAAATGTTGCATTTAAGAACAGCACTTTGCTGTCATTTGTTACATTCAACCACTGATAGGACTCTGTGAAATGTGTAAAAGGGTTCATCTAAAATGCCATCTTGGCCAGCTTCAGCCCGGCCTGACATCAGGAGAAGGACATCAGAGTAAATGCTCTGCTGCATGCTCCTCTCTGGTATTCCAGGCTGACTCGAGGGAAATCATACAATATTTACAGGAAGGCAACCTGGTTTCCTCAATCAGACAGGCCCAGCCACATCCTATTAATAGCCTGCCCAGGAGTCAGTGGGAGGGGGGGGGGGGGGGGCTACACAGCACACTAGGCCTCCATGTGTTGCAGTCCAACTCTGTAACCTGCATGATAAGCTCCGCAGCAGTGCAGCTCTAAAGTGTCTGAAAACATACTTTCTCATAAAGCTTACTATAATCAAAGTTGCCCTATATTCACATAACAGTTTCTGGCAAACTGTAATGAGCATCTTACATGAGATATTTCTGTTAACGATCCTCTTGTTAAGCATAATACTAACCCCCGCCCCCCTTCACAGGTAATTAACAGAGTTATATAGCTTTGTGATAAATAAGAACACTTAATACCGACAAGGGACTGAACAAGAATAAAATAAAGATGAAATACAATTGAATGAAAAGGCAAATTGAAAGGTGGGTCTTGATTTGTTCCTTAAAGTATGAGCACTCCCTGCCATCCTCTTCTGTGAGGCTGTTCCACAGTGAGGGGAGTAATAGCTAGCCCTTTTCCATGAGTTGATTAAAAACCCTGATTTCAGAGGATTGTTTTATAAACTGCATTGTTCCAGTCTTACAGTGTAGTTAGTCTTATGCTATGATACGAGTATCCTACTATTGTGTGATAGGAGAAATATTAGCAATGTTCCTACAGCTTAAGGCAAGTTATATTTAAGACTAAAATAAAAAATGTAAAAGGCACTTTAAATTCAATTCAAGACTGTATGCTTAATGTTTCCTTATCCGGATCTGGACAATAGCAAAGAGGAGGACTAACGTATGTGTTTGGCAAACATCACGCTGTCCTGGATAACAACTTTGGCTCTGTCCTTATACTTTGTCGCACATCTACCTCTGAACTCTTGAACTCTCTAAACACATAGTATCTCTTTTATAACAGCCTATAAACACCATGTGAGAAAAGCCATAGCATGAAATGTTTTCCAATAAATAAAATGGTATCTTAATGATGAATATGGATTTGTTTTTATTATAGAAAAGCTATGTTTTCGGGGGGTTTTAATACAAGTTAGCACAAGCAGAACTAAATACATTCACCAGCAAAGTGGTTCAAAGGTCGCTTCAGCAGGCTTTATAAGAAACATGCTTTCCTCTTGGGAAGGGTGACATTTACAATCCCATTTTTAACCCGTGATCTTGACACATGTCTTGTGTGGTTGGGAAATAAATGGGTGAAGTGGCATTAAAGCAGTGCTGAGTCATTGGTCTTTGTGAAAGCAGGACTTGGTTCAAGAACACTCTCCCCTCTGGCCGTGTCAGCGGCACATCGATACATATATTGTCCAATTTCATTTACACTACCATGCTGGTGTACGGCCAGTTCAAAACACATCCACCTTGAAGCACAGAGAGCTTCCGTCGGTTAAAGTTAAGGACGACTGTGCTGCCAATGGTTACAGGCTGTTGGCATGGAATTATCGACAGAGCTGCCGTCTCCAAGTCATCATTTAAGATGTGGACACATTTTAATGCCCAAACCTGAGAACATTTATTGGGATTTATTCTATGGATTTTGGAATATTGCAGAAAATAAGATCTTTGGAAAACACACGTTTATGATACTTGCACGTTTTGTTCAGCAGGATAATCTCCACATTTTAACTCCACTTTTAGTGAGCCAATGTTTGACTTTAGATGACGGTAGAGTGACTTCAAGTCTCCACCACTAAGCTAAAAGGCGGCTAATGTCCGGTGTGATGACGCTTTCAAAATATTGCAGAAAATAAGATCTTTAACAAAAACATTTGTGATACTGACATATTTTGTTCAGCAGGATAATCTCCACATATTAACACTACTTTAGGATTGAATGATGAAGCGTAAATGCAATGGTCAGAAGTAAATAGCTACCGTTGGACTTTAAACAAACTACATGACAACCGAGTGACTTCATGTCAACACCGCTTAGCTAAAGGCTGCTAATGTTCAGTGTGATGACCTTTAGTAGTCTTATTTAGTCTTGTTAGCAACTACCATTTTAAAAGACAATTAAAAGTTCACGAGTGAAATGTG